AGGGTTTAGGGTTTAGGGTTTAGGGTTTAGGGTTTAGGGTTTAGGGTTTAGGGTTTAGGGTTTAGGGTTTAGGGTTTAGGGCTACTCAATCCAGAGCCCCCTACACAGCAGCAACGTGAAGGTCAAGCTTAAAGATTCTGATGGTCTGTGGCCTGAGAAACCAACATGCTGCGCCCCTTTTTTTCCTGAAGATGCAATCCGGCAGGAACCCTTGGTTTAGGGTTTAGGGTTTAGGGTTTAGGGTTTAGGGTTATGGGTTTAGGGTTTAGGCTTTAGGGTTTAAGCGACCCTGAGTACTCAAAAAAGAATACTGCGGACCTAAGCACTTGGGGACTGTTGCATTTAGCTCCTTCGGACCATTGCAACTGCACTCTTACAAAGAAGTGCAGGCTCTGAACCCTAAACAACCCTAAACCATTAACCCTAAACCCTAAACCCTGAACCCCGAACCCTGAACCCTGAATCCTGAACCCTGAACCCTAAACCCTAAACCCTAAACCCTAAACCCTAAACCCTAAACCCTAAACCAGCCCGTACACCTAAGGCTCCAGCGCTGCCCATAGGGTTTAGGGCTTAGGGCTTAGGGTTTAAGGCTGTTTAGGGTTTAGGGTTTAGGGTTTAGGGTTTAGGGTTTCGGGTTTCGGGTTTAGGGTTTAAGGCTGTTTAGGGTTTAAGGCTGTTTAGGGTTTAGGGTTCAGGTTTCGGGATAAGAAACCCTAACCTTCACACGAGCGGACAAGAGCCTGCTTCTTGTTCTGCAGCTCAGACCCTTCCCCGTCCGCAAACGCATTGGGGCCGACCTAGCTTTCTCAAGAAGCGGGGTCTCTTGAGACCCTAAACCCTAAACCCTAAACCCTAAACCCTAAACCCTTGACCCTTAACCCTAAACCCTAAGCCCTAAACAAAACCCTCATCGGTTTTTAGGGTTCACCTGAAAACCCTGCTCGGGGAGCTCCTTCTTACCAGTCTTGGCCCTTCTATGATGGGTGGCCAGGTCGGGTTAGGGTTCAGGGTTCAGGACGGTTTAGGTTACCCTAAAGCCTAAACCCTAAACCCTAAACCCTAAACCCTAAACCCTAAACCCTAAACCTTAAACCCTAGACGATCTGTGGGGCTTGCAGAGCTTCGGCTTCGGGCACGAGTGCGCCATCGAAATGCTCCAGGGGTCGTGTGAAAACAGGGACTGCCAAAAAGCGCCAAAATGATGCGAGAAGCCCGAAGCTCGAAAGGCGTACCAAATATTCTCAAGCCTCCCTCAATGCCCCCACCCCACCCCCTCCAAGAATCTAAGACCTAAAGCAGCAAGTGTACCCATTTCTGTGGTGAGGCTGGGGCGCCCTTTTGCAAACCCACCCTAAACCCTAAACCCTAAACCCTAAACCCTAAACCCTAAACCCTAAACCCTAGACCCTAGACCCTAACACTGTGTTCCGGGCTCCCAGGAGACCGTAGCTTGCCTCCTGGCAGCTTCTCCCAAGACTTCTCGGGTTATCCTACTGGTCCTTAGAAAGGAATGTGGGAAGAGGTGCCTTGTATGATCTGTTGAAGGATATATATATATATATATGTGTATACATATATATATATACATATGTATATATACATATATATATATATATAGATATGTGCATATATATGTATATGTATATGTATGAATATATATATATATATACACTTATTTTCTATATTTATATATTTATATTTATATAGGGGGATGTAAGGTGCCAAATTCTCTCGTTCCCTACTAAGAACCAGCAGGCTTAGGCGTATAAGAATTCTGAGTTGCTAGTCAAGGGCTTCTGCTGATGTTGTTGAACTGAAAGGGGCTGCGCGATAGCGCTTAGGCTTCAAAAGAGAAAGGTAGCGCTGGCAACTTCGTAGTTCTCCAACAACCAGGGAACAGAACACGTAAAGATCTAGTGTTCAGAGTTCAGGGGCATTTTGTTTGAGCCCAGACACCCTAAACCCTAAACCCTAAGTCCAAAACCCTAACCCTAAGCCCTAAACCCTAGACCCCAAACCCAACATGTGTTAAGGACCACTCCTCGCGGCCTAAGTTTGGGGTGGAGGCTGATTTCCAGGCGGTGCGCTCGCTGCCGACACTTTCTCAGGGGTAGTTCTATGGGCCCTTAATATGGTCGCTTACCTCCTTCAAAGGGTTCTGAAGTATGTGCCCTTGGGTTGTTTGGGGTATATACAAGAGTAAGTCGAAGACATCGTAAGGTGCTGGTCGACCTCGACGTTCAGGTTACCTATGCCTTTGAACCTATTTTTTTAAGACAACCATGTTCGTGCTTAGTAGAATATGGTGAGAGAACTAGGCCCCCCCCCCAAAAAAAAATGGAACTGCAAGCAAGGCTGCAGGCATCTTAGACCAAGTTCGAAGAAGCATGCACCTAACAAAGAAGAGGTCCTTTAAAGTTGATATTTTGAGTGTTCAAAGATGGCTAGTATACCCCAGAAGCCCTTATCAAGGCCATTTATAGATCATGCGGATTATAAGGTCCAATAGCCCAATAGCACATCCTGGTTTTTCGGATAGCTGAAACGGCATGCCATTTGGGAGTGGAAGGTGAAAAGCCTTGATAAGCATGTCGACTCCTGCTTCAGAGGGGGTCGGAATGGGGTTTAGGGTTTAGGGTTTAGGGTTTAGGGTTTGGGGCCTTTAGGGCCTTTAGGGCCTTTAGGGCCTTTAGGGCCTTTAGGGCCTTTAGGGCCTTTAGGGTTTAGGGTTTAGGGTTTAGGGTTTAGGATCTCTGACCCCAAAAGCGTGGTTCGGAAGTTACATCCTCCTACCTGGAATGGAGAGACTCGGGGACTCTGGCTTGAGAGGGAGGGATCTTCGGCGAAGGTCCCTATAGATCCTCGACCCTGGGTTTAGGGTTTAGGGTTTAGGGTTTAGGGTTTGGGGTTTGCAGTTTGGGGTTTGGGGTTTAGGGTGAGTAGGCACCCAGCAAAGCTACATTGCACAGTCTTCGCTGGGATCCCCACATGCAGCTCCTGAAGGGTGTCGATCCTCTCTGGTTCATCCTGCCAAGCCGCCCCCCAAAATTCTAGGGTTCCAAGTATGGGCCCCCTTTTGGGGTCGCTTGCTTAGGGTTTAGGGTTTAGGGTTTAGGGTTTAGGGTTTAGGGTTTAGGGTTTAGGGTTTAGGGGGTTTAGAGTTTAGGGTTCCAAGTATGGGCCCCTAATTTGGTTCTCTTGCTATAAAACCCTCAGATGCACTCTGCATATAACGAGGGCCCATACTACGGGTCCCTATAAACAAGGGTAAGGGACCATACTAAGAGCTCATGGTTCCAACCTGAGAATAGTGAAGAACTTCGACATGTTAACAAGAGTGTCTTTGCAGTCGTCTGTACTAGCTGAAAAAGCACCGACAAAGACACCTAATGCCCCTGTGTCCATCCTACGTACCCCCTTTCAGCCCCTAAACCCTAAACCCGAAACCCCTAACCGGAGCGCTTGAGCGCGTAAGGCCCTTGAATTCAGGGCTTGTAGGGCTGCAGTTCCTGTTGAGCAATGTAAGTATGAGTCAGATGACTCAGAGGGTTTAGGGTTTAGGGTTCAGGGTTCAGGGTTTACGGTTTACGGTTTAGGGCTCAGGGTCTGGGGCTCGGGATCGATTGCCGACGAGTTCAGCCAAACAAACGAAGATAAAAATGCAAATTCCCCCCCCCCTCCCCCCCAAAAAAACATTTGAAACCCTGAGCCTTAAACCCTAAACACTAAACCCTCAACCCAAAACCCTTCTAAAAGCTAACTGCAACCTGCCACGGGATCGGCCTGCTCATCCTGGGTCTCTGGCAGCTCCCGATTGCCTGAGGCGCGTGGAGGCTTCGAATCCTCAATCCTACATACGGGCTTAGGGTTTAGGGCTTAGGGTTTAGGGCTTAAGGTTTGGGGTGTAGGCCCTATAAACCCTAAACTGCTACGAGAGTGGGGCTTAGGCAGAGTGAAGCTATATCCCGTAGACTCTCAAAACGTGTGCACGATTCTAAGGTATGTTATGCAGGGAAAGAGATATATGTACATAAGTGGAAAATCATATATGTGCATATATATATATATATAAGAATATATATATATATGTATTTATTTATTTATTTACATATGTATATATATATATATATATACAAGGACCGTTCAGTCTGCCTGGCCACATATATACGATACACAGTCCGCACAGCTTTTTCGACGGCAGGACGATCGTGGCGAGCATCGGAAAAAGGACTTCAAGGAGATCCCAATGCAAAAAGACACTCGCTGAGCAAAATCGAACTTGGCGCACACGCCGGCAGAACAAGTAGCTGCACGCATGCTATGACCAGACAACCTCCTGTCAACTCTAAAGCACGAACAAAAACCTTGTAAACCTAAACCGTATATGCTTTTCGGTAATTAACAGAGACTCCGTGCCTTCGAGACAGGAGCCCTGTAGAACTCACACCCCTCAGATGCTGATCCATCAGGATCGCGCCGGGAACCGGCAAAAGTAACGCATTGATAACTTCCAACCACCACCTTGAGACGGAGACCCCTTGAAGGGGTATGGCTTACGGTTTAGCGGGGTTAGTTTAGGGTTTAGGTTTAGGGTTTAAGGCCTAGGGTTTGGGGTGATTCTAGTGCTTCTGGGTACCTATCGACGTCAGCATCCTCATCCGGCTCTGACATAAACTTCACTTGCAAGCCCATCAGGACCAGATGGCCAGTAGGGACATCACGCAGAAGCAGAAGACTGCAAGGAGGAAGCTTCGTCTTCTCCACTCGCCCTTCCCGGTCAGAAAGGCCGGCATGAGCATGTCGTAGACCGCAATGCACCTGGGGTTCAGGGTTTAGGGTTTAGGGTTTAGGGTTTAGGGTTCAAGGTTCAGGGTTCAGAGGGTTAAGGGTTTAGGTTTTAGGTGCTTGCCTGGTTTTGGATGGCTTTGGGGGGTGCAGCGCTTGTGCTTAGTTGGATTTCCTTGTGTTTGTTAACAACTGAAAGAGGTACTGCAATCTTAGCGCAGGCGCAATAGACATCCAGAAGTAAAGCAGATGAGCCCACAGGCTACAGGACCTTCCAAGCTCTGCTCTAGCGTCATTCCCAGCACGACGCCGGCAGGGGTCATCAATGCCAGAAGTACCTAGGATGGCCCCCCCAAAACCCTCTGAAAAAATATTCCTGAATATGAGATCCTCTTGAGCCCAATAAGGGAAAATGTATACAAAATCTCCCGGGGGCCAGCCTAGCTACCATCAGTGCCCACCACACCGGATTGGAGACTGCGCCGAGCATCAGCGAGCCAGCAGAGAAGGTTGCGAAGCCTTTGTGGGCAATGATGGCGACAAATGTGGAGTCAAAGTCTGCGCCGGACTCCTGGGAGCCTTGGTAGCCGAGAAAGCATCTTACAGTAAGGGTACCCTTTTTTTGGGGGGGGTTGCTCTCTTTTTTTATAAAGGGGAACCCAGAACGCAAAAAAGGGGCAAAAGGGTACAACTCAGGGTACTCCTGGGAGCCTGCAGCTGTCCCTTCCACCAGTGAGTGAAGGCAAAGGCCGAACAGCGCAGACAGCGCGCCGCTGAAAGACTGGCCATGGTCGACTTTGATGTGTACGCCTTCTTGGCTGTGTTTTTTTAGCTGCCTTGCTAAGAAACCCAAGAAACCCGAAAAGGCTAGGGATCTAAAGTTACAATGAAGCACCACAGAGCCTTTTTCCGAGGAGTCTGAATCCGAGTCGTAGTCGTCTTCTGACGCGCTATAGCTCTCCTTCGCGTCAGCTGCATCCGGCACGAAGACCTTGGGCAATTGCTGGAGATGACTTCGATGATGAGTAAGTTTCTAACCACATGCGGACTGGTCTGGTGATGTACCAAGGCTAAACGCCAACATTGAGCTCTGAAGGGACCAAGGGGCTTCCATACTCAAGCTCGCAAGGAAGCCCAGACCCAGGAGCGCGAAGCCTTGGCTTTTAAGCAACCCCTGGAGGAACAAAAAAGTACATGGGTCTTGGTGCTTTTGCATTCAGGAGTGTACTAGGAACCCAGAAGCCAAAAACAGGAGAGCATATACCAGTGAAGAGCCATGTAGCCAAGGGGAAAGGATTCACCTTCCGCTGAAGGCCTGAAGCCTGGAATGAGCAGACATGTCCATCCGGTATTTCTGATCCTACTACTTGCTTAAGAACCCCCGCAAGACATAAAACATGCTCTTCCTGATAAGGGCAATATAGAGATTCTTGCGTTTTATTCTGGGGGGTTCTTAAGCAAGTAGCAGGATCTGAGGCCCTCAAAGGGATACAGCTGCATCCTTAACCCCAAAAAACGCTAAGCCCACAACGCTATGGAGTTTCCTCTGGGTCTCCTAGAAACACCGGTAGAACGCCTCGCCGGTCTCTCCCAGTTCCTCGGAATTTTCAGCGAGCATGTGCACCTCAGATTTTTTGGGAAGGTCATGCGGGAGGGGGAGGTCTTAGGGTTTTGCGGCAGTCGTTTCGACAAGGGATCTTCGTGTCTTCGTGGTTAGAGAAGGGAGGTGTTGGATTTACGATTTGTAGGGTTTAGGGTTTGGGGCTTAACTTAAGGTGAAAAGGGCTGAGGGCCAATGACGAACCTGGGCACCAGGACGACCGCAAGAAGCACCCCACCTGCACCTGCATTACAAACTCGCACCAGCTTTGTTGACAGCTCGGCCGTGTACCTGGACAAGATCGACCCGCCGAGTGCCACTAATGCCAGGATGCAGGAGCTCACAACCTTGGTAGTATTGGGCTGCATGGCGTACCTTCCGGGCGGCCACGCCGAAGGTAAGTTATAAGTTATAAGTTATAAGGACTTTGCACCAGCTTGAGCCGGTAACTGGCCGAGGTTGCCTTCTTGTCAGCTGGCAGGATCTGGGCTTCTGAATGACGCCCAGTACCGTACACCCTGCAACACCAAATCAAATCGCCTGCCGAATCCTTTCCCCCTAGACCCTATATGCAGTTCCGAGAAACACGACAACACCATTACTATATCACGGTATGCAGCGGTAAAGGACGGTTGGAACTTGACTTGTTTTCCTGTCCTGGACTCACAACGTATCGTTCCGTTTTCTGAACCCTAAACCCTAAACCCCAAACCCGGACGATGCCTTTCTTCCAGACAGCTGCTGTTCTCTGAGGTGTCATGCGGTCTGCTTCTAAGTTCTTGACATATTTGTTTATGGGGAGCCAATGTTACTCCCTAAAACCTGGTTTAGGGTTTAGGGTTTAGGGTTTAGGGTTTAGGGTTTAGGGTTTAGGGTTTAGGGTTTAGGATAAACAAAACAATATAAACGATCACCAACAAAGAGCGAAACAGGTCCCTATACAGTGACACATAGTCGGGAGACTCATATCTCGAACTCGGAAACGGAATGAATGAATCGGGCTTCCCGGAATCGTACACCCTAATATAGGGACCTTAACAGCCATAATAGTTAGAGTAGCACTTGTTGCTGTCTTTTTTTTTTTTTTTTGGGGGGGGGGGGGGGGGGGGGTACTACAGAAACATTATTAGAGGGACCATACGGGAACACTATAAGTAACTGTCACAGTCTGAGCCCTAGACCTTGAACTCCAAATCACACCCCCTAAGCCCTAAGCCCTAAGCCCTAAGCCCTAAGCCCTAAGCCCTAAGCCCTAAGCCCTAAGCCCTAAGCCCTAAGCCCTAAGCCCTAAGCCCTAAGCCCTAAGGCTAGAAAGGACCTCCACCCACGCCGTGCGCCCGGCCGATCAGACACAACCTCAAACCCTACAAAGCCTTAACCCAAAAACCCTAAACCCTGAAATCCTAAACCTAAGACCCAAACCCTGAACCCTAGGACCCTAAACCGTCGGACACTAAACTCGACATTCCTCGAACCCTCCTTGCGTCCAATCACCTCGAGGGGGTAGGTCTTAATCCCCTCCGCCGAATACGAAACCCCGCCCCACCGCTAAAATTAAATCCCCCAGTATAGTTTTCTTCTAGTGTGCGCGGGCGGGTATTTAATATTAGGGGAGGGAAGGGACTATAGTGTGTCGCGTTACTACTTGGAAGCCTTTGTGACCTAATGAGCGGGGTTAGTAAGTCGGGATATGAAATTGTTATGGGGTTTCTGGGGGATACGAAGTAGACTTGCTAAGTCAATAGTGCTTCCAAGTATAGGGTTTACAGAGTTTATGTTCTTCAGAGTTTAGGGGTTTTTATAGGGTTATGGTGTTCCGGGTTTATAGAGTTGTTCAGAGGTTAATTAGGGGTATTATAGGGTTTATAGAGCTTAGGCTTTGGAGAGCTTAGGGCTTCTAGGCTTTTAAAGCTTTAGGCTTAAGAACGGTTCTACAAGGGGGGTCGAACTAAGGACCAGTGACCCTAGACCCTAATCCCTAAAAACCCTAAACCCTAAACCCTCAAACCTAAACCCTCAACCCTCAACCCGAACTTAACCCTAAATACGCATGTCACCGCCTTTTTACCTCGGCCGACAGCTGCAAGTCAGCAAGCGAACCAGACTTCTGCATCACGCCCCACAGCCGAGGATCATAATCCCGATCTCGCCCCACCGGAAGTAGGCGGCGCTCCGCGTCCCCGGAGCGGCCCCTGCGTGACCTGCGTCGGAAACAATCACATGGTGCGTCCCGAAAGGTGTCAGGTGGTTCATAATGCACAAGGCCATCTTCTTCATTTCGGAGCGATAGCCTTGGTAGCCCAGCAACCACCTTATAATCAGGGCACCCTAAACCCTAAACCCTAAACCCTAAACCCTAAACCCTAAACCCTAAACCCTAAACCCTAAACCCGAGGGTTTTAAGGGAACCTTGAACAAAAAAAAAAAGGGAAAAGGGTACCACTGGGCTACCAAGTAGCATGACGGGATGGACCGCTTCATAGTCTTGAGCGCCTCCAACCCCTTGGCTGGCCCTTAAAAGCCTCGGGTTTAGGGTTTAGGGTTTAGGGTTTAGGGATATAAGGGAAATGTAAAACCACAATATGATCCTCTTAAACCCAACATAAGGGAACATGTAAAACCACAATATGACCCTCTTAAACCCAATACAAGGGAACATGTAAAACCAGAATATGACCCTCTTAAACCCAAAAAAAGGACAATGTAAAACCACAAGATGACCCTCTCAAACCCAATATAAGGGAGCATGTAAAACCACCATAAATGACCCTCTTAAACCCAATAAGGGAAGATGTAAAGCCATCATATCATCCTCTTAAACCCAGTAAATACGGGAAGATATAGAATGTCCCAAGGGCCTACCTAGGCGCAAATCCCGACATGCTCTTGGTTTCAACATCTCCGTGTGGTATGCCGGCATTCGTGGCAGGCCCGGAGTCCAAGTCAGCCTGCGAGCCGGACACTTGTGTTCGGGTTTAGGGTTTAGGGTTTGGGTTTAGGGTTTAGGGTTTAGGGTTTAGGGTTTAGGGTTTAGGGTTTAGGGTTTAGGGTTTAGGGTTTAGGGTTTAGGGTTTAGGGTTTAGGGTTTAGGGTTTAGGGTTTAGGCTTTAGGGTTTAGGGTTTAGGTTTAAGGCTTGGGGTTTCGGGTTCTCGGGTTGAACTTCTCAGGCGGGGGATGTCGCCACCCCCCCCCCCCCCCCCCCCCCCCCCCCCCCCCACATCACTTTTGCTTTTCCCTGATGTCAAAATTGATGAGCACTGTCCGTCTTTGTACTGTCAACACCTTCATCAGCTGGCAGCCATCGGTGTTGTTTTAATCAGAGCAATCCTAGCAGCATAACTAAGACCATGATGCTGTCGATGATGAAGACGAGGGTGGTGATGCTGATAGATGCTGATGTTAACCTGATGACGGATGAAAAAGTTTGATGATGACGACAATGACGAAGATTGTGATGATGATGATGATGATGATGATGCTGATGATGCTGATGATGCTGATGCTGATGACTGTGACTGTGATGATGCTGAGGTCACGCGGGCGTTAGCGGCCCTGGACCGTTTGCACCAGGAAATGTGGTTTTAACCCACGCAGGGCAGTGTTCGCACATTGAAAGGGGCTTTCTTTGGCGGTATTCATTGTTCAAGGACTTGGAGTGACTGAAAGGTGGTGTGTTGTTGAAAAGCACCACGCCTGCAAGTGTTTTCAGCATTTCACAGTGTTTATGTTGGGGAGATGTTTTGGCGATTTCTGCGCGTTTTCGGGTTTTGTGGTTTTGTGAGTGTTCAGGGTGGAACGGGGTAACTGCAGCGTGGTCTTATATGTTGAAAAGTGCCACGCCCGCCAGTGTTCAGCGTTTCGCATGCCTTTTTGGGGGGCCTGGAGTGTTCAGGGTGCAAAGGGCTTGCGGTGGTTCAAGCTTAGGGCTCTGGGTTTGCGCAGAAACGCCAAGCACGGAAAGCACGGTTTTGGTCGCGAAAGGCATGGACGCTTGTGACAGATTTTCTTGTTCCACATACTTGTGCAGTATGTTGTACAAAGAGTGTTTTGGGCATGGACACAATATGAATGACGTTCTTATCCCCCCCCCCCCCCCCCCCCCGGCACCCCCCCCGCCCCACCCAAACCCCCCAACAACTTACCTGTCTATTCAGATATCTACCACAATCTAACATAGTTGACAGCGCCTGCATCTCGTCTGTGCTGGCCCGCCGCGTGTCATCCCGGATTGCGAAGCAAGCCACCAGCATAGAAAGGACGAAGATGGTCCGCATGGCGAATATGGCGCAAACAATGATGAGAACTGATTTTTTGTCAACGGCTAGGACCTGGAGCCGTAAACGTGCACACACTTGCAGCTCGCCACAACCTGAACTAGGCAAGCCCAAGCTCCCCTCCCCAAGGTGTATTGTCATATCCTACCCTACCAAGCACGTATTTGTACTATCTCCAAAACAAGCCCCTATTTTGGTAACCCCTGCCAATACTTCTAAACCCTAAACCCCAACTCCTAAACCCACATCTAAGTGTTTGCAAAACAGGAGCCCAGTCGACAGCCCTTGAACGACTCCACCAAGGTCATGCCACGACGCCCCGCCACGGATTGGGAACTTCCGAGCGCTGACAGGCTCCGAGGTTTGAGTTTAGGGGGGGGGGGGGGGGTAAGGGGTTTAGGGTTATAGGGGTTTAGGGGGGTTTAGAGGTTTAGGGTTTGAGGGGTTGGGGGTTTAGGATTTAGGGGTGTTTAGGGACTTCGGCATGAGGAGAAGATCTTGTAGGACTAAGGGCCTTAAGTTTGCAGGTCCTGCAGGTCTTTACAGGCAGGATGAAACCTTGAACCCTAAAGGATGTAGAGGTCTGATACGGCTGGCAGAGTTTTGTGGGTTGCAGGGTAGGGCTGGAAGCCTCCATCACACATGCCCGCCACCCTGAAACCAAAATCAGAACCAGTATACAGAGGTGAATATGTATATATATATATAGAGAGAGAGAGTGAGAGAGAGAGCCAGAGTCATATGTAAATATAGGTATAGAGAGAGAGAGAGAGAAACAGCGAGACCGCTACAAAAAGAGAGCTCTCATACAGAACTAAAAAAACCCTAAACCCTAAACCCTGAACCTAAGACCCAAACCAGTGACCCAAACCCTAAACCCTGGCACCCTAACCCGCATGACGCAAAACTCGACATTCGTGAAACCCTTTGTTTGTGCCTCCGATCACCTCGAAGGGGTAGGTCTTTATCCCCTCCCCCTAATAGTAAACCCCCCCTCCCCCCGCCCCTACTAGGATGGCCCTTAAAACCCTCTGAAAAATACTCCAGAATATGATCCTCCCAAGCCCAATAAGGGAAATACACAATCTCCACCGAATTAGCCAAAAACTAAAAACCCCCCAGTATAGCTTTCGTCTTTTAAAGGTGGGAATGTGGGGGGGGGGGGGGTGGCAAAGCCTTGGTGACTTAATGAGTGGGGATAGTAGTTGCTATGGGGTTTCTAGGGGCTGCAGCCCGTATGAGGGGGTCGCATTGACGCCCAGTGACCCTAAACCCTAAACCCTAAACCCTAAACCCTAAACCCTAAACCCTAAACCCTGAACCCTGAACCCTAAACTCAAACCCGCATGTCACAGCCTTTTCACCTCGGCAATCAGCTACAAGTCAGCAGTGAACCACTGGACACAGTAGCCTAGAAACAAAAAGGGTGCCCTTTTTGGCTTTAAGGGGATTCTGAGGGACCCTAGACCAGATCTCTGCATCACGCGCCGCGGAGGATGATAATCGCGATATCGCCCCACTTGAAGTAGGCGACGCTCGCCGACCCCAGGGAGATCCCTACATGACCTGCGTCGGCGATCATCACATGGTGCAGCCCGAAATACTTCCTTGGTAGCCCAGTAACCATCTTATAATGTTTGGGTTGGGTATTTTATAAGGGACACCAGAACCCAAAAAAAGGGTAAAGTGTACCCACTGGGCTACAAAGCTTCAGCTGGTCCTTAATGCACGCGGCCATCTCTTTCTTGCTGTCACGATAGCATGCCGGGATGGACCGCTTCATGGTCTTGATCGCCTCCAGCGCCTAGGATGGCCCCCAAAAGCCTCGGAAAATCTATTCCTGAAGATGGTCCTCCTAAACCCAATTTAAGGGAAACTGTAACACCACAACTAGGATTCTCTTCAACCACATCTGAGGGAAAGTAAAAAAAATGTCCCAAGGGGCATACCTAGGCGCAAATCCCGAGATGCTCTTGTCCACAAGATCTCCCTGTGGCCTCCCGGCATTCATGGAGTCCAGGTCAGCCTCCGAGATGGACATTTGCTTTGTGTAGGGTTTAGGGTTTAGGGATTAGGGTTTAGGGATTAGGGTTTAGGATTTAGGGTTGCGGGTTTAGGGCTGAATTTCTCAGGTGGGGGATGTCCCCCCGCACTACTTTTCCTTTTCCTAACATCAAAACTGATTAGCGCTGCTTGTTTTACTAGGGGTAATCCTTGCAGCATAACTAAGGCGATGATGGTGTCGATGATGACGACGAGGGTGGTGATGCTGAGAGATGCTGATGTTGACCATGCTGAGCATGAAGATGGCGCATTATGACGGCATTTGACCATGACGATGGCGCATGGTGATGGTGCTGGTTGAGAGGATGAATGATGATGATGATGATGATGATGATGATGGTGAAGACAATGACCAAGATTATAAACGAACATGATGCTGACGATGATGATGATCATGAAGATGATGATGCTGATGATGGTGAAGGTAATGAAATGGCCGTGGTTGTGAAGGTGGGTGATGATGATAAAGAGGATGAGGACGAGTGTGAAGGCGATGACTGATGACGATGATGATATGATGATGATGTTGATGATGATGACGACGATGACTGTGACTATGATGACGCTGACGAGGTGCTGACGATGGTGGTGGTGGTGGTGGTGGTGGTGGTGGTGGTGGTGGTGGTGGTGGTGGTGGTGGTGGTGGTGCTGGTGGTGGTGGTGGTGCTTGTGGTGGTGGTGGTGGTGGTGGTGGTGGTGGTGGTGGTGGTGCTGGTGGTGGTGGTGGTGGTGGTTGGTGGTGGTGGTGGTGGTGGTGCTGGTGGTGGTGGTGGTGGGTGTTTTGATGGCGATACAGTTATTGCTGCGCCAATTGGTATTACACTTTCCGGCCTTATTGTCAATATCGCCGACTGTTTATCAGATATCTACCACAATCTATCATTAGTTGACAGCGCCTGCACCACGTCTGTGCTGGCCCGCCGCGTGTCATCCCGGATTGCGGAGCAAGCCGCCAGAATAGAAAGGACGAAGATGGTCCGCATAGCGAGTATGGCGCAAACACTGATGAGAATTGAGATTTTCCTCAATGGCTAGGACCTGGAGCCGTAAACATGCACGCGCTCGCACACTTGCAGCTCGCCACAACCTGAACAAAGCAAGCTCAAGCTCCCCAACCCTAAACCCTAAACCCTAAACCCTAAACCCTAAACCCTAAACCCTAAACCCTAAACCCTAAGGCGAAGTCTGGGTGAAGCGCCCTTCGACGCGCTCCGCGACTCCACGACGAGGCTGTTGCACGTCGATGGCACCTTTGAGGGTTTAGGGGGTTGAGGAGTCTAGGGATCAGGCCCTAAACCCTAAGCCCTAAGCCCTAAACCCTAAACCCGAAACCCTAAACCCCGAAAACCCTACAGGGTTTAGGGCTTCGGCGAGCTCTTAAGGGCGTAGAGTTTTAAGTTTTGGGGCTACGGCCCATTCTAAGATTCCCTACAAGGAGGGGCCCCCTTACTATACTAACTGTAGTTAAGGGGTTTATAACCTAATTTAGGATTCTTACAACCCGATCTAGGCTTGGCTGCACTTAGCAGGGTAGCGATAAATTTAATTTTTATCTGCCTTGCTAAGAAAACCAATAAACCCAAAAAGGCTAAGGATCTAAAGTTACAATAAAGCACCACAAGTAGGGCTCTTATGACTCTACTTATAGCTAGCCGGCCCACCTTGTACATCAAACAGCAAGCTCTCTCAGAAAACGCAGCTACTCTCGACACGCTGTATATTCCCATACTAGCCACCGGCAGGGTAGTTTTGACCCGAAAGCCCGAAACCCTAAACCCTAACCCTAAACCCTAAACCCTAAACCCTAAACCCTAAACCCTAAACCTTAAACCCCAGACACCAAGGCCATGCGAAACATGACGCCCTACCCTAAATCCAGCTGCACACCAGTCCATAAAGTTGCTTTTGAGTTGAGGTAGGGTGTATATTCCTTGTATCCCCAAAAGGACACCCAGTATATACACCCACCAATATTAAAAAGGAACCTTATATACACTCACCAAAACAGAAATATAAACCCTAAACACTAAACCCTCAACCCTCAACCCACAACCCACAACCCTAAACCCTAAACCCTAAACCCTAAACCCTTCTTCAGTTAAAGGCTGTGGGTGCCTCGGAAAGGTGGCACTTGGAACCCACGGGGAGCCGAAATGAATCCTCTCACTGCTGAAGCCTAACTAAGCCTGCGAAGCCCGGTTTAGGGTTTGGGGTTTAGGGTTTAGGGTTGAAGGGTTTATTTGCTCAACAATAACAATCTCACAACTTATCCCCCTGCCCAAATCCCGGGAAGTACAAAAAAAACAATGAGCAAAGCCATGAGCAAAGATAACACGCAAACTCATCAAGCTTCAAGAAATCCAGGCTTCCAACACCACGAGCTCCACAGAACCGTAAACCCTCAACCCTGAACTTGTCTCTTTCTTTGTGGCGGACTGTAGACCCTAAACCCTAAACCCTAAACCCTAAACCCTAAACCCTAAACCCTAAACCCTAAACCCTAAACCCTAAACCCTAAACCCTACACCAGGTTTACGCCTTACCAACACCATCTCCCCACTGCCTCCACCGAGGGCTCCGGCCTCGAAGAAAGGAAGAGATCGAATGAAGAGCCAAGGAGTGAGGAGTTTAGGGTTTAGGGTTTAGGGTTTAGGGTTTAGGGTTTAGGGTTTAGGGTTTAGGGTTTAGGGTTTAGGGTTTAGGGTTTAGGGTTTAGGGTTTAGGGTTGAAGATTTAGGGTTTCGGGTTTAGGGCAATGAAAATGAAAAGGGTTGAGGGTTTTGGCGGTTTAGGGTTTATGGGGTTTAGGACTCGGGTCTTGCTGCGATTGCCCCCCCCCCCCATGCAAACCCCCCTAAACCTTGAACCTGAAAGCACCTAAACCTTAAACCGCAAACCCGAATTAAACCAAAATCCGCTTGAACTCACTACATCCAAAAACCCCCCAGTCCTGAATTCCAGTGCTGAACTTTACAAACACAAACACCCCCTTTGCAGCTGTCTAACAGGGTATATTCACTTCACCACTCCCAAGTTTAGGTGTGAGGGGCGAGCCTAAATATTGGGGCCTTTGGGAGAGGGGGTCTGGGACACATGTGTGTGTACATATATATGTGTGGTATATATATATATAGTACACTATCTGTTGGAGTTTATGTATACATATATAAGTGTGTATATATACATGTATACACATATGTCCTTGTCAGCTTAAAGTACCAAAAGGCCCATCACGTAGATTACACACTCAAAGATCAGATGGGCTTAGGGTTTCCGCTTCAGGGCTGATTGGACACAAAGCATCTCACAGCTGAACGCTGCTCCAACAGGTTAGGGGTTTGAGGTTTAGGGTTTAGGGCTTAGGGCTTGGGCAGGCTTTTCGGCTCAAAGTTGATAGCCCAGAAACCATATTCAAACATATTACAATACGCCCTTTTGGGGGGTTCCGTTACTTTGTACGGGCACCCAGAACCAATAAAAAGCAAAAGGGTATCTAGTATCACTGGGCGACCAAGAAAAATCGTTGCGATGTCTTTCGTAAACATGCCTGATCAAAAATCACCTAAACCCTAAAACCTAAACCCGAAACCCTGAACCCTAAACCGTAAACCCTAAACCCCCACACCTCAAAAGCCCTTCAGGCTCGGGGCTTGGAAATAGGGTTTGAGCGGCTTTATCCTTCCTTGGGGTTAGAGGCCGGGGCACCCCACTCAGCCCTGTACCCCTTACTTAAGAAGTTGGGATAGAGCGGGTACCCCCAACCCTAAACCCTAAACCCGAAATCCTGCGTCCTACACCCTGCACCCTACACCCTCAACCCTAAACCCTAAACCCCAAACCCATCCTCTTGTAGGGGCGCGGCGGCTGAAGGCTCTCCTCCCCGTTCGGCTGCGGCTCAGGCATCGGCTCACTCCTCAGACCATTTTGGGGCATCTTGTTGGCTCCACGGGAAGGGTTTAGGGTTTAGGGTTTAGGGTTTAGGGTTTAGGGTTTAGGGTTTAGGGTTTAGGGTTTAGGGTTTAGGGTTTAGGGTTTAGGGTTTCGGGTTTAGGGTGTAGGGTTTTGGGTGAAGGGTTTGCCTAAATACTGGGGTTCAGGGTATTGAGAGACTTCGAGTTTACGGCTCAGGGCGGTATTTGAACAGGGCTCAAAGGAAGAACCACAGTCCAGAGAGAATCGTTGCAGGTTTGCGTATTGAAACTCATGGCAGCCTCCGGCAACGGCGCAGGCGTGTGCGATTACACCTACACGCATGTGTGTGTAAGCTCACATATAGTCTATGAGGAGATAGAAAATACGCACAATTCACCTGTTGATTCATTGATTCAGCTCCTCTCCGTGCTTATACTCGAGCTAGAGACGTGTATTGCGGTGCGTCTCAGTGGCTTTCCACACTCTGGCCGGCAACTACTCTCTCTCAATGGCCTAGTTCCGTACTAGTTCCTACTAATATGGATGCCGCACGTTCCCAGGGGCAACGCTGATGAGCTGGCTACTTACTATTCCCAAGCACACATTTGCTTAGACGTTGTATGAAATCCTGCTTCCGCCCCCTAAACCCTAACCCTAAACCCTAAACCCTAAACCCTAAACCCTAAACCCTAAACCCTAAACCCTCCCAGCAGATCTCCAGTTGTGACCCGCCTGCAGAACGCAGCACCGCTGGGGGACGAGATCCACCTTTTTGAAGTGTCTATAGGGCTGTTTGAGTGCTAACTCGAACTATTGGGGAGAATTGCAAGTTGGGTTCCCAGAAAACAGAACTTGGGCTCTAAGAAGCTTTAACTACAGTTTAGGGTTTGGGGTTAGTTTTTTAGGGTTTACGGCTTAGAGTGAGGGGGGGGGGGATCCGTTTCCCAAGCAGGATGTTATGCACCTAGTCCTAAACCTGCGTGGCGCTCCAACATGTGGACCCTGTTCGGGCACCGGCAATATGAGGACCCGTTCTAGACCAGGTATATACTGCAGACAAGATGGGCCCTCACTGAAAACATCCCAAAGTGTCCCTTAAGAATTGATGTGCGCATGTACCCCCCACCCCCCCCCCCCCACTTTTCAAGGATTATGAAACCCTAAATCCCTAAACCACAGTACCCTGCAAACCCTGAACCCTGAACCCTGGCACCCAGTACACCCTAAACCCTGACACCCTAACCCCTAAACCCTAAACCCTGAGCCCAGACACCCTGTATACGCCTAAACCCTAAACCCTACACCCTAAACCCTAAACCCTAAACCCTAAACCCTAAACGAGTCGTGCCTGCGGCCCTGCTGCACCGCGTTAACGGCCCGGCGCATCGCCACGAGCTTCGAGGGGCCCGGAGCAGGCCTTTGATGCGATGTGGGCTTTTGAGACATGGGGTTTAGGGTTTAGGGTTTAGGGTTTAGGGTTTAGGGTTTAGGGTTTAGGGTTTAGGGTTTAAGGTTACCTGAACCTCCAATGTCCGCCGACCCTGGCGGCGTGTTGGATGGGAAAAGGAGGTGAAAACCTCCCTCTTTCCCTCCTTACCCCCCCAAAACGCGAAGGGGGGGTACCCGGGCAGCTTTTAGGCGGTTTCGCATACGATCCTTCGGGAAAACCCAGCCCCCCCCCCCCCCCCCCCCCCCCCCCCCCCCCCCCCCCCCCTCTCCGGTTGTTGGGCTTGAATTGATGGGGCTGCCCTCCTTCAAGCGGCTTCAGCTCCTGTTTGGGTCCTGGTGCCATCCCCTATACCCCCCCCCCCCCCAAACATTTCACAGAGGCTCAAGCAAATCAACTTTCGGCATCCTTTGAGCTGACGAGCGCGTTTAAACCTTTCAACTATGCTCCAGCGGAGTCGGCGGCTTGAGCCTGAGGCTCTTAAATCCGGGCACGCCCGTGGTCCGACGCCGTTAGGCGCCAGCCCTAGCTTTAGCTACCCCGGGGGGGGGGGGGCATATGCCGCCGACCCGGTTGGCTCCCCAACATCCGGCTCCAAATGCGGCTCCCGAAGGGCATCATGTT